GATGAGCCTGAGTGGAAAAATTTTTAGTCAAGTTTCAGTATAACACTGGCAGGACCAGTATCTGCTCATGCATGTGCTCCTACCAGGGAGGCTGATGCCAAGCAGACACTGAGAGGCCACTTGTGCACTCCTCAACCCCACCTGCTCCTGGATGTGGTGAGAAGCTTCCCTCGTACCCAGCAAGGAGGCCAGTGCAAACAGGGACCACCCGCACCAGCACCCCACCCCGGGCTCCTCCTTCCCCAGGTGAGCAGCCCAACTTGTTACTACCCAGGTACCTCCCATTTCACCAGGATCCCAAAACTAGATTAGCTAGCTCAGCAACAGCTTGAGCGCTAATTTAAGTCAATTTGAGTGCTTTTACACCCTGTGATTCTTCTTTCCTGCTGCTGAGGAGGAGCAGCTTCATCAATGCTGGGTCTCTGTGTTCACCCATAGCTTTCACTGTCCTGGGTATGGTTTTTCTATTGCTCCTCATGCATTTTTGTTATCTGATCCACCTTATTGAACCTAGTTTTTCTACTGGATTTTTTTTTTTCTGATTTTAGAGAGTGATATTGGCTTACAGAGGGATCTGAAGCCAGCAAGGAGGCACAGCCCTGAGCAGCAAGAGGTAAGTAGGGCCTCTTCTTTCAGTGGTGTTAAACTGGGATGGTGTGATTTTTGGAGGTGTGTCTAAATCTGGCTTGTCTCTTGCAAGAGCCGGTACTTAGGGAGCTGGGCAGAAAATGCCCAGGGAAAGATCCTACAAGCTATGTGAAGCCGTACCCTCACTCTGCTGCCTTAGCTGGGTCAGACTTAACCCAGAACTATCAGCAAGCTGATCAGAAGCACGGGAGCTTAGTGCCCTTGCCGTGGCAGAGGTGAGAGTAGGGTGGTCCCTTTCCATGGGGGGTTCATGAGCTGCTTTCCTCTGCTGTTGGTAGAAGCAAGATATGAATGATTATGGATTGTTTGTGGGGTCTTTTGTTGTTGTGGTTTTTTAGGGGTTTTTTTTGGTGTGGGTTTTTTTTTTAAGAAAGTGTTACAGGATCAGGACTGTTCTCAGGAGCTGTAATCTTTAAGCCTGACTGGCTAGTCTAAAGGGCTTTAGCCCCAGTGAGCTGCTGTTGGGTGTGTATCCATGCCAGACTAAGCCTGTGATGGTGCAAGGAAAGGACAATAGTACAGATGGTATTCTAGGATTTAAGGAAAATAATGTTGCACTTCTGTGTATCTTGAAGAGTCTGTTTTATTCAAAGGCTTTAAAATGGTTGCAGTTCCTATTCTTCTGATGATGCTGAGTGAGTTGAGCTGGGATGCTCGTGCCTTGCCTTTGGGCACCAAGAGCCCTCAGGGGAGGCTCGTGGGCCTGTTGTTGCTCAGCACCCTGATATATCTGAGCTTCCTGCCTGAGAACTAGCATGATGCATGAGTCAGCTCCCCTGGTTTTCCCTTCCAAGGACACCATTCTCTCATCCCTGTTTCTTCCTGGCCTGTGTGCTAATTTCCTTGTTCCTCCTCTCAGCCTGTGATTTATGTGGAAATTAGAAACTCTGTGAGCATTCCCTTCCTTGTAGAAGTCTTTCACTTCTTGGCCCACTGTCAAGGACTCAGGAGACGCAGCCTCTCCTGCACGAAGTTGCTAAAAATGCAGAGAGGAACGCAGGGCCATTATGGGGGTTACAGCAGTGCTGGAGTGGGGAGCTGTGGGTCATGGGCTTGTGCCATCCTGATGTAATTCTGTGGTTTCTACTGTTGTACCTGGCTCGTTTCAAGTGCAGTAATGGCCCTTGGCAGTGGGAAGGGGCTGGGAGCAGGGACACGGCTACCAGGGGACAGGACAGTGGGGACAGCACAGAGAGTTGTCAGCAGTCATGTGGCCCCCAGGGCTGTGTGATGTTACTGTGGGCCTGCCATAAGATGCTCTTCGGGGACATGGTGCTACTTAGTGAGGCAGCGTTGGCAAAACCCTTTTTTTTTTTTTTTTTTTTTTTAAAGCATTGGGATCCTGACTGCTGAATGTTAACTGGTATAAATGAGGGTGGGCTCACCTGGGGAGCTGGGCAAACCAGTGATCTGGATCCTGCTTAGTCGCCCAGAAGGAAGATGCAGTCAAGACTTGAAGGCATTGATCTGTCGGGTCTGCTTGGTGAGGCACTGGGGCAGCCTGTCGGCACATGGCCAGGGCTGCACAGGGGAGGTGCTGCCTTGCTCTGCTGCCTTCCCTTTGTTTCCAGCTCTGATATTGTTACTTTCCAGACACTACATGCACATTGAGTTCATGGCTATGTTAATTTTCCACAGTGAAAATATTTTTTAATGTTTATTTTTCTTTTCACTGTTAGCATTGAAATGCATGCTTTAAAAAACCCCAAAAACCAAAAAAACCTTGAGGTCCTTTTGTGTATACCAGCCCTGAAGGGGAGGAAAAGGGCTTTAGGAGGCTGAAGTAGGAGTTGTCCTTGGGCTTATCCAGTGCTGAGCGCTTCCCACCCTGCTGATGTTTGTGCAGAGTGCTCAGTGTGCAATCACAGCTTCACCCAAGCTGGAAGTGCACGGCTGCGTGGCATTGAGGATGGATGTGGGAGGGAGAAGGGGCTCCATGGGAGAGGAGACAATCTCCTTCGGCAGAGAAAACCTCCTCTGCCTTGGAGGGGACCTGGGCAGGCACAAGTGTTCACAGCCATGTCCATGCTGGTCTCTAATCAGCCACAGGCTGAACCAGCTGAGCCTTTTCTCTGTTGCTGACAATACTGAAGATGGGTGCTCCTGCCTTGCCTCCCTGCCCTGGCATGCTGGATGTGCCCAAGGGACGCGCTTGTGCCAAAATGTGGTGCAAGGGACAGCTCTGACACTCGCGGTGATAGAGAATGCCGCAGCATAACAGGTCTTGCGTGAGGGTGGCAGATGTGGATGGCATCCTGTTCAGCCAGGATGTTCGTCCTTCCTCCCTGATGGCATTTACCCATGTACTCGCCCAGCTACCACCATTCCCAGCTCTTCTCCTGCCATACCTGAGGTGCAGGCAGCTGCCCGCACTGCGGTGAGCAGACTGTGTGGGAGTGGGTGCTCTCCTGGGACAGCTTGGCTGCGAAAACCAAAGCTCTGTATTTGGTGATTTTTCCAGAAACTTTGTGTTGTTTGAATAAAGAGACCTCATGTAAATCTCGGTTTTAAAACAAAGTAAATAACTGCTTGGCTGGAGGACAATGCCACTCCGAACCAAAATGCAGCTTGAAGATGCAGGAGCACGCCAGAATGTGTTCTTCTTTTAAAGTTCTCCAAAGTCTGAGCCAGTCATTTTGAATTTTGTGCAGGGTTTTCCCCCACTGTTAGTATTTCAGTGATTGGCCCTGTAGTGACCCAGGCATGCTTGGACTTTGCCAGCTGCCCTTCCCTCCCTCTTCTTCTGGGTGAGGCAGGAGGAGGGAAGCCCACAGCTCCTTGAGATGATTCTCCTTGCAGGATTGGGCTGAGTGGAGACACTTTATTCAGCATGCAAGTTGCTCTTAAGGCATCATAAGAGGAAATTAATCTTTTTCAGAGGAACCTGTGCAAGAGGAACCCACGAGTATCACTTTAAAATGCTCATGCCTCTTTCACAGAAATACTTACAGTATGTGGTATCTTTAAATGACTTCAGCCCAGTGGGAGGTTAAACAATCTGGAGAATCTGTTCCTCTCCCTCTTGCCTGCTATATTTTATTAGTTTGGGTTTTCTGTTGCTTGGAGTCCTTGATGGCAGCAGATGCCTGGGCTGGGGTTTGAGCTGTGCAGCACACAGTGCTGCTCCCGAGGGAGGGACCTCATAGCCTCAAACTGAAATCAAACTGTCTCGCACTGAGCACTCAGCAGGCATCAGTGGTTCTCTTTATAATTTTCATTTTGGTATTCCAGATTTAAAAGACTCGTTTGCAGGTTTTTCCTTTCACTAGAATAAAAAGGACTCTTTGCCAGACAGTTCTAACTTCCCTTGCTTCTCATCTGGGGAAACCAACTCATGTCCCCCTGAGAGGGCTGACACTGGGAGGAAACGCTCCCTGCTGGGGCCTTCTCTGGAGATAACAAGGGAAGGCAAGTGACTGAGCTGATCTAATTGCTCACTGCTGCTTCCCCTCCACACTCCTCAGGTTGTATTCCCTGTGGTGCTCTCCCATCCCCTCCCAGCTCTGGTACCTGCCTGGTGCCAAGTGGGTTCAGTTCATAAAATCAGTGGAGAACTAACTTGACTACAAATAAAACCCAAACAATAGGAAAACTCACCCCCAAAAAAATCACTTCTGTGGATGGGTAATGCACTGAATCAAGAGGAAAGAACTGAGGAGGAAGCAAGGTCTCTGAGTTTTGGCAGAGTGGGCTGTGAGTGCTACCGGATTAATTACCGCTGTACTACGGAATTTCCCTCTTGGGTGCAGCATGGCCGGGTGGTGGTGCGGGGAGGCCACCGCCTCCCTTGTGTCCCACCGCCTCCCTTGTGTCCCACCGCCTCCCTTGTGTCCCACCGCCTCCCTTGAGCTGCCCCTAACGTGTAGGTTGCTGAGGGAGCCGTGTCGGTGTAGAGACCTGCCCAGAGCGGTTATTTCCCTTCGGGGCTCTGGGACTCTCAGGGTGGGAGTGTGGGGCTGGGCAAGGAGGGAGAAATGCAGTTCTTGAACTGCTGCTGTCTTTGGGAAGCTGCCTGCAAATGCACCCCAGCACACCCTAAACGAGGGAGCTTTGGAATAAGACATGTATTCTCTGAGCAACCACTGTCAAGGAAAGGGCACCTGCTGTCTGGGTGAGCAGCGTCAGGGCAATGGATGGATCCCATTCTTTCACCTTGCAGCTTTTCTTGCACAGAGAGCAGAAAACTCTCTGCATTCCCCATCCGGCTGGGAGGGGAGAAATACTCCATTTTACCGTCCCCTACAAAATCCATCGCTAACCCAGCAGTGTCTGTGGAATCTGTAACACAGTTTTGAAATACCTTCTGGGAAACCACTTTTATATATGTCAAGACTATTCCAGCAGTACTTTTGTTCAGCTTTATTTTATAAAATGTATTTGAAAGGATTTTTGTAAGATAGAACACAATTACTATAGTTCATGAAAATCATGCAAGTATTTTGACTTGTAAAAATAAGATTAAAAAAAATATTTGTTCTTATGAGATATCCCTTCAATGCCTACATATGAGGATCAGAGGAGCTGGAATTTCACGAGAGTTTTCACCAAGTGATAAAGAAGATGTGAAGTATGACTGGAAACCAGGAAGATGCCGCTGATAGTGGGGAAGAAACTCCTTCCATCTGGCTACTGCGACAGAGGCCTCTGCTGAACGCTGGATGCCCTGGGGCGTGGCAACCAGACGGAGTGGCTTTATAGAACTCTTTGCTCTGGTAATAGTGAACCCTTTTGGAGCATGTCCCTGTATTAGCTGATACAGAGGAGAAAAACAAAAAGTTGCAAAGCTGTTTAGCAAAATAAAAAAGGTTCAGCTGAGCAAAAGTTCAGCTTTTTAGTTTTCTGGGTTTTTTTCCATACAGTTTAGAATCGCAACACTGATTTCGTAGCATCCATAATATTTGACATACAACATCAGAAAAGCAAAGCAGCAGTAAGATACAGGGTCTAGTTGTAGCATTAAGCCCTCAAGGAGGATCTCAGCAGCACCACAAGCATCTCCTTCCAGCAAAAGCTGGAGGGGATGAAGCAGGGGGTTATTAATGAACCTGTTTCTGGAGTGAAGGCTCATGCTGTCTTTGCCAGTTGAGTCTTATCTGTAAAGTTCAGCCTCCACCATAGCTCGAGGCCCACAGGTATCTGGCTTCCCCAGTCCACTTCAGGTTCTGGTCACAGCTTACCAACGCTTGTCTGAAACCAAATGCAGGACACCAGCGCTGGTATATTGAAGCTGAAATCTGAGAAACGCCAGTGATGCTCGGTACAACATCTTGTGTCTTCTGAGGAGTCTTACCTTTAAAAATGAGATCTCTCTTTTGTGTCATCTCCTATTTAGACCAGAGGCTTTTACTTGTTAGTACTGCTTTGATGAGGCAGAGAGCCACTCTTACTTTTACAACTTTAGGTGACAACTTCCTGACTCTTAAGCAGCTGGTAAAGTGTAACTCCATATTGGCAAGGATTATTACTATTATGGGGTGTAGGGGGAGGAGCTGCAGTGATAGTCTCCAGCATCAGTGGCACTTCTGCGCTCAGCTTTCAGGGAATGGTTGTTGGTTTTCATGCTTTATAATACTCAAAGCATTCCGTACCAGTATTTGAATTACATGTGCATGGCCTGTTGGAATCCTCATGGAAAACATAATGGGCAACTTCGAGACTTAGAGATTCATGAGGCTGCTTAAAGGTGAGTCCTACTGGTCCTGGTACCCTGTGGACTAGTTGATGATGTCAAGTAAATATCTAAATAGCCAATACAGGCTGTTAGCGCCAAAAATGTGGGATTGTATGATAATCCCACACATATCCACGTACAGGCTACACTTTGCTGGACTGAGGTTTTGCGCATTTCCTATTTTTTCTCACGGACTAGTTTCTCATCTTATATTTCATTGTAATAATCTTGATCAGGATATATCAGGAAACCGGTAAATAAGCTGTCTGTCCAGTAGGGATCATAAAAGAGCCCATTTTGTTCTGAGTAAAAGATCTGCAGCCATACTTCATCTTCCTGCTTCAGAGAAAGGATGGTTGATCCAGAGGCAACATCATGGTTCCCAGTGTTGGCATCAAAAGTCTTGATCCGGTACTGCCCGTTGTGGACCAAGCCAATGGCCAAATGTTTGTTGGCCAAAGTGATATCGTAAGTGAAGTAGTAAATACCTGGGATGCTGCATATAAATTTCCCACTGGAAGCATTGTAGTGTCCTCCCTCATTCATCAGGATCCTGTCAAATTTGATGGGCAGCCTTTCCCTTGGGTAGCTCTTTGAGACTGCCACAGAGAAGGCAGATTTGGCTTTGTTAGCATTACAGGTGCAGGGTCCTGGCATCCCGGTCTCGCCCTTGTTCCCTTTGGGCCCTTTCTTTCCTGGTGCCCCGTTTTTTCCAGGATTACCCTTTAAACCCTTGGGCCCTCGTGGGCCTGCCTTGCCAATTGCTCCTGCTTTTCCCTTTGGTCCTGGTTTGCCAGGGTTTCCTGTTCTGCCTTGTGGACCTAGAAGACAAAAAACCTTGTAAATTTTTCAGTGAAAGAGATGATATGGCAAGCGGAAAGGGGTTGCATCGTTGTAGCAGTATATCATTTAGGAGGAAAACTTTGCTGGTGAGAATCTGGATGAAATACCACCTGGAGCTGGACACCAGGTCTGACTAGGCATGTTAAGTAGGGAGTTGGCGTGATAACAGTGGGACTAGGGGGCAGGAGAGTCCTTTTAAGGATCAAAAGGTTTGTTCAATTGTCTGGTTCACTTGAGAAAAAAAGAGTAATTAATTATAAACCTAGCCAAGAACAAGCTTTAAATGTTTGGGTTTTTTAGAAGTGGGACAGGTTTGTGAAGACTTTAGAACGTAGGTTTGAGATAATAGAGTGCTTGTAATCTCCTCTCTCTTTTTCTTTTTTATACTTAACATGAAACTGTTTAAAAAAAAATAATATCTAGGTGTAGTAAAAAGCCCAGCCTAGCTGGTGGATGAACCAGTCATGAACCAGAAGACACCCAGTGCAGGGACTGCCTTGAGGTGGGAAGCAAGTTGGACCGTCACAGTGATGCTGGAACTCCTGCATGTTGCTGATTGCGGTGGTGTCTGATATAAGACAAATTCATGGAGCTTCGTACCCTGTCTCTTGACCTGCTATAGCAAGGCTAGATTTAAATGCAGCTGTGGGTGGAAACCTGTTCTCCAGATTCCCTCTTTTGGGCGTGGGAGAAGAGAGTAAGATGCAGCTTTGTCAAGCTGGCATTATGCTGAATCAGGAGTGCACTCTAGTGTGGCAATGGGAAATGGCTGCTTTCTCAGAGCTGGTCCCTCTGCTTACTGACTGTGAGGCTGGATCTAAAGCAGAGTCTCACGCAGGATTAAAGAGGGATTGTTATTTGCTTTGATTTAGGTTGAGCATGGTCAGAGCAGTGCCTGTCATCCAGCTAGAGCACTTTGGGGAGCAAGTACTTAATTTTTTCACCTGACTTTTTTTCTCTTGAGAGCAGGAATCAGAGCCCACCACTTTGTCTCATCTAGAGAGCATCTATCAGAACAGGGAAAATCTCACTTCTTAAAATGTAGCCAATAGGATTTGCGTACAGCATTAAGATGCTATCATCAAATAATGTGAGTCTGAACCACCCTGGCAGGAGCAGACAAGCGTGAGATGTTGAAGGTGGGAGAGTGGAAATTTCTAGAAGAGTTTCCCAATGAGATATTGTCTGTCCTGGGGCTGGGATTTGGGGTGACAGGTTGTTATCTCAGGTGTTGTACTATTGCTTTTACATTTTAACCCTTGTGGTAAGAAGCGTTTTTCTCCTACCTTCATCGCCGTGCTCGCCTTTATCCCCATCCTTGCCATCCTTGCCATCTTTGCCTGGGAAGCCCATCCTGCCGACTGTCCCCGGAGCCCCGGGTGCGCCGGGCGGGCCAGGTGGCCCAGGGGGTCCTGGCAGGCTGCACGCCAGCTGGGGACCTTCCTGCAGCGCTCCCTTGGCAAAGCCCCCGAGAATGTGGTTTGCCACACAGGGCACAGTCCAGAGCAGGAGGACAGCGGAGATCATGGTGCAGCCTGTAAGGAGGAGACGGGACATGGCTGTTACGTGTGGTAGCCAGCATGTGTGAGTGCAGCAGTGTCCTCTCCACCAGGATGGTGTGTTGTAGAGACTTGCATGAAAATGGGAGATAACTGGGCTTTTTTTGGCAGGGTGGGGGAGCTGTTTGATTTGGTGTGACATGAATTTAAGAATTTAGCTCATGGAGTTTTCTAGGTCTGATCAATATTTTTATTTTCAAACTTGCCCTTCTCCAAGTCCGTGTCTGTGACCATCCCTCACTTTGTTCCCTGGGCCTCCCTTCCCCCAAATCACAAGTAGCAATGGCAAAGTGGTGCAGCAGACAGCTGCTTGGGACTACCAGAGTGGAGGAAGGAGAAAGGGTTTTGGTGTAAATTTCCGCAGTGAGACCTGCTCTGCGGCTGGGTACTGGGGTTTCTTACCAAGCACAAAACCTCATGTGATTCAGGGCTGAATTTAGAAGAGGAGATTGCGGAGGCTTTGGGTCAAGGCAGCCCTTACTGCGTTTTGCCTGGCGGCATGAACTGAGCCCCTTGGCTGGCTGAGACTGTCCCGTTCCCTATCGCAGCTCGGCTGCATGGCACTGCACAACCTGCAGCCCTATCCCCTGCCAGGTCTCCAGCGCAGTGTTGGGGTGCAGCTGCCCCTGCAGCCATGCTCAGCCCCCCTGCAACCTCCACTGATGGTTTTCTAACCTCTTGCCGTGCTGACCAGCCTCTCTTGGGGGTCAGTAGCTCATTCTTTATGTTTGTTACTAACATCCACCTTGGAAAAACAGATAACTGTTAAAACCCCAACTGTTGTTTGTCCCCTGCCTCTGTAAAGTGAACCATTGCTTTAAGCATAACAAATGTCAAGGGCTTTTTTAGAGCATCCCAATCTCTGCTTTCATTCACAGCAGGAGACTGAGCCTCCAGGGCTTGTCTTGTTCGCTCCTGGATGGGGAGATAGCAATAAAAAATAATTTCTGGAATAATGCCATTGCCATGAGCCTGCTAATGATACAGCATAGCTAATATACAGTAAAATATCCCTCTGGATGTTTGCACATGGAGCTGTTGGCAAATAGCTGTGTTTCATGTGCAACTCTTGAATAACTCCACTTCATCTTGAAATAGCGCTGAGATGCATCAGCAGCTTAGAGAAGATGCTCAAAATCAGGCTGATTGATAAGAGCCCATCTTCATGCGTGACCCACCTAGGACTCTGGGCATTAGAAGCATTTAAAATAGAATCTGGGTTCTGCACATCACTACAGATATAGTAAAAAAAATTTCCCTCATGGTATCAGTTTCTGACTGCCCATGGGAAAAGGTGCTCCTGCCATCCCCTCCTTGGAACAGAAGGCATCCCTATGCTGAGGGCTTTTTCCTCCCTTTGCTCTGCTGATGAGGGAGGTTATGGCCATGGCCACCAGCTCCCCAGCAGGGCCAGTGCTCCCTGGTGGGCACTGACCATGGGCTGAGGGGAGACACTGATGGAGCCAGGCTCTTTTCCAGTTGTATGAATAGAGAAATAAGCTGGTGGGGGGGATGAAAGGCATCCCTGGCCCTTTTGCTTTCTTTCAGCTTCCGTAGCTGGAGTAGCTTGGAGAAATGAGACCCGAAGCCTAAAACTGCCCCATACGAATCTGTGGCTGATTCACTGTTTGCTCAGTAGCTCTCTGATTAGGAGAGATTGAGCTAAAGCCAAAGGTGGGGTGCTTTGGCGTTTGGGGTTTTTTAAAGGAATTAGCCATGTACCACTTTGATACAACTCCTACCCCTAGGCTAAGAGGTACACGCTCTTATCTGATGGAAAAGACTCTTACGAAATTTAATCTTTTCCCTTGCTACAGCTACCTCTGACAGTAGGTGGTTAAACATTTTACAAGAATTATCTATTTGCATGGGCTTTCTTTTCACATCCTGAAGTCCTGCTAATGCAACACAGAATATAAGTGAGGGTTAAAAGCAAGAAAACTGACTTTCACATATTTCTTCTTCTTTGGTGCCAAAGCAAATTTGTAGTTAAACACAGATGGAATAGAAGATGAGGTGGGATATCCCAGACCTTTCAATCTGTCATTGGCCTTTCAGCCAGGTGAGGTCCTGCTTGGTATCAAGTCAAATACTGGGAAGCTATTGAATTTTCTCAGTGTTATGTTTAACTCCTGCACTGGAAATAAGGTGCTTGAAGTATTGTAAAAATTTCATGTTGGCCTTAGTGCTCTCACCCTGGTATCGGCTCCTGAAGGGAGGGAAATGTGTATTACATGCTCCAAATCCAGCGAGCAATATGCTACATATTAATGCTGAGTGGGAGCCCCCCAGATCTGCGATATGTAAAATTAAGAACATGCAGAGGAGTGGGAAATGCAAAACAGATCTCCAGGCTGGATTTGGCTGCTAAGCCATTTTGTTCTTCAGCTCTCTTTCGCTTTTCTTATACCTAAGTTTATTTGTTGGTGGTGAAAGGTGTTGACTTAATGGTCTTGTGAGACAGAAATCACCAAGCAGTATTGATGTGGACAGCTGAATAAAGGCTTCTCAGTTCAAAGAAAGGGAAACAAAACGTTAAAATGCTTGCAGAGTGGGGAGATCCCAAGGAAAGCTACATCCCTTCTTCCTAGTAACCACCTCAAATAGGGCAGAAGAGAAGTGAGAGGCATATGGGGGTGGATGACACTAATAAGTTGTGGCAAGGAAAAATGTCATTGTGGAGCATAGCTTAGAAAAAAACTGGGACTGCTTCATGTAGAGAAGAAATGGGCAGGAGGGAACACAGGGCAGGACAGCTCCTTCTCTTAAAGTTTCTTACCATAAGAACTTCTATGACCTTCAGACAACCCAGCTAGTTGACCTGATGGCATAAAAAGTGGTAAACACAAAATACCCTGAGGCTGGGAGGTTAGTAGCACTGGTACTTGGATAGCCGGGGAATATTTGACTACCTGGAGCCCTGCTCTGGCACAGCTCCCAAGTCGGTGTTAATTAACGGCTCCACAAGAACGTTTCATCCCACATCACAGCAGTGCGTGTGGGATGCAAAGCACAGTCGCATTCACAAGAGAATCTATAAATAACCTCTTAAAGAAATCTCTTTGAAAGAAAACAAACCTCATGCTGTTCCACCTTAAAAGGAAAATTGCTCCTCAATGTAGAATGTATGAGCTCCAAAAAGCAAATTGGAAACAGATCAGCATCTTTCCTCTCCAGAGTACGGCGGCAGGCCTATCACTGGAGGGCCTGCAGCATGGTTTCAGCTGAGGTCTTACTTTTCTAATGCATTTTAATTAATATCTTTGCTAACAGGGTTTTGAAGACTTTTTGGCCATGACCAGTGCCTGTTGTGCGAGAGTGAGTGCTGTGCCCGGGGGCTTACAGGAGCTGACTGGTGGTGGAGGGCTGCTCAGGGAGGAGATCCCGCACTGTGACTGAGCGCAGGCACCAGCCGATGGCTGTAACTTGTACCTGCTGCTGAAATGCCAACGTCCAACTCCTCAGCACCCGGGGAGGGCACTGCTATCAGGCACTGATTTCAGCATAGGAAAACAAAGTGGACCAGCTTCACTTAAACAAGCCAGCTCGTTGTCTGCAGCACGGGCACAGCTGGCCAGGCCTCAGGGCTGCCATGCCCCAGCTTCTCCTCAGCAGAGCCTGGGGCAGCACCAGCACTTCTCTGAGGTTATCAAGCATGTTGGTGCCGAGCTTGGGCCATAGCAGAGGTGCTCCAGCCATTCATGTGTGTCTTGGTGACAGCATGTTGGTGATGGGCAAGATCTCGTGCATGTAGAAATGCTTTTCTTCCCAATACTTAAAAATACCCTATCTATCCATTGAGTCACTCTGAAGTGATGTCTTCTGACATTTAGCAGCAGTGGTGCTTTCTAGGTTGCTCAGGCAAAGAAGACCAAGCCCTCAGGCTCAGGAAATGGTGCAACTTGTGGTGGGCATGTGATGGACAAGGGCAACACTTCATGGCTCTGAGGTGAAGGGTCTTGGAGGAAAGATCCTTTCAGCTCCCAGATGCTAGGTAGGTTCTGTCTGAGAGCTCACGTTCTCATCATAGCTGGGTCAAACCTCCACCCAGAGAGAGAGGACAGAGGCTCAAAAATGTGCTGTCAGTGTCTGAACCCTGAGGTCGAAAGATGAGGCAGACAGGTGGAGTGACAGGTGTCCATCAGCTGGGTTTGAGACAATGATTCCCTGTGTCCCTCACCTGAACCAATGGAAATTGCTGCTGTGGGTCCAGGGCATCCCCTGGGATCAACGTAGTCTGTAAAACTGTGCTGTGAATCCCCACTGGGTAATTTTGGGAAATACTTGTCAGGAAGCAAACCAGGAAGGGATGATTTTGGAAAATGTTCACTCCTGAATCTTAGAGCTGGAACACATCTTTATAGAAAATACCTCAGGGCAAATAAACCAATAAAGACAGAGCATCTCTGATTTGCAAGTGTGGTACATGCAGAGCCGAGCATTTACTGTCTTCTTTCTTCCTAAGGAGGTGCATGTTTAGGGGCCTTCACTATAATTATATAATAAAATGTAATGAATGACTCCAAGCATGTGTCTGAAATGGGATGTTCTGACTCTGCCTCATGGCCTTTACGTGATACTCACTTTCTGTTTTAGGACATTTTGTTGTCACCACTCCTTGCCTCAGTGGGCCCTTCTCTCCCTGCCGGGGCTCAGGCAGAGGCTGCAGGGGCTGGGGAGGGGACACTGGGGCTTAGCTTTCTGCAGGATTGAGGAATGCTGGGAGTGGGTGGGCTGCCCGAAGGGGCCTGTTTGAAGTAGATATTTGTAGACTCAGCAGAATTTGAACCCAACCGCTCCATGCTGAAACCCGAGCATCCTGTGAGCTTTTGTAGCACGTGAAGCACCTGTGCAGGGATCCTGCAAGCCCGTGCTCTCTAACAGCTTTTCTAAGCACACTCCTTGTTGCTGAAGCTACAGTACGTCACTGTCACCTGAGAGCCTCCATTCCTAGGAGCTGTATCCCACAGGGCTCCTTGCAGTCCCCAGTCCCAGCCTGCAGCTCCTGTTCCTGCTGGCTGCTGCAGCATGCGATGGGCTTGCTGCTGCTGGAGGGGCCTCACAGGCATCAGCCTGAGGGGACACATCTCTTGCCACGTCTCCCCTATAGCTCTGGCTGCCACAACATCCTGCTTCACGTGGCTCCTGCAAGCCCCTGTGCAACCACCCTCATCCCAGCCCTGCTGCAGGTGAGCTTCCTGGGCCGCTTCACAGTTAGGAAGCCAGACAAATCCTATAGATATTTATGCATTAAAAAGGTGTTTCTCTAAGAAAAGATTTTGCTGTAAGTGAGGCCCAGGCATGAAGGATCAATTGTACTTTCTGGTGCTTACAGGGCAGCTGGGCTGAAATCCTGTCAGAGGGAAAATCCCTGAGCATTTGCCAGACGTGGTGTGGAGGCCGGACGATGATTTTTGGCCAGGGAAGCCACGCTGTGCCATGTGGTGGTGATGTGTGCCTGCCCATGGGGAGGAAAAGCGCAGTGGGGGACAGAAAGGAGAGAGGCTGGGGGGAATTGCTGCTCGGAGGGAGGGAGGAGCAGGATGTCCTGGTAGCCCGAGAAGGGACCCAGCAGCAAACAAACGACTGGACCGTGACTTTCTACTTGGTTTCCTTTCAATATTCTAGGCTTTCTTAAACAAAACAACCATCTTCGTGCTTCAGAATTTCCTGGCATACCTCAAGGCATCTTAATTAGTCTTCAAAATAATCATTACTCCTGTGAGTCTAATTCTCCACTCTGGTGGTTGCCCTGTAGCATCCCTCGGGTGGAAGCACAAGGAGCCCTTGGGCACGTGGGGCTGATTTAGATAAAATAAGGTGTGCTGCTGGTGACAGCAGCTGAAATGGATGTATTCAATTTCTGACATAAGCCAGTGAGGTAGTTGTACCAGATATGAGTTTGATCTGTTATCTGCTATCGCACAAAGCAGTGTCAAAGGAGATAAAGGAGAGCAGTGTATCTTCTGTGCCTGAGCCTGCATCACCGTCTCAGCTTGAGGCAGACAGGGGTGCCCGTGGCAAACCTTTCCGAGCCCTGAGCTAAAGCCCTGTTACAGAAGCTGCCGATCTGTACCAGAGCAAAGGGAGAGGCTGCGGTTTCAGCTGTACGAGGTGGGTGCTCCCAGCAAAAGTCTGAGGAATGTTTCCTTCCTAGGGTATTTCTTTTAACTGGCGATTGTTGCCTTTATGGATTCCCGTGCAAGCGTTGGAAACCTGAGTGCTCAATGATTTAGACCTTATTTGGTAAGTTTTTGAAGTTAAGGTTAAGAGGAGGGAGGGAAAAAAAAAAGGAAAAGTGAATCTACTTACCACGACTAATCTCTTCAGTGAGATCTTGACAGGCGCTGGGAACTGACACTATTTTAAGCAGATGTTTTGCTGCAGATCGCTGTCATGCATGGAGTCCAAGCCCTGTCCTGCCGCAGCAGTGTCCTGAGGGGTGTGCAAGATTGACTTCTGTCTTTTTTATTAATGTTTTACTCCTTTTTGTGCAGATTGCTAGCTTCTTGCAGCAGCTCCAGGTTTTGGCTCAATGTTGCCAAAGGCATATTTTTATTATTGTGTAATGGGTCTGCGCCTCTTCCTCTGTCACGTGGCATGGGAAGAAATTTTTACGCACATATGGCTGGAAAGCTCTTGATGCTTGGGGAGCTGTTCCCTTTATCTCTTGCAGTCTTGTACGAAGGGCTCAGGAGTTGCCTGGATCATTTCTGACCAGTTCTGCCCCTCTCTGCTGTAGGGACGTAAGGGGATGGGTAACTCAGATCACACTAGGGAACAACTTTGACACTTGATCCTGCAGCATTAGCAAGGGAAGCAAATCTTGTCCTAAGGGTGGAAACTAGCTTCTAAAACAGTTTAGACAAACCAGTAATATTTGTCTTTATTCAATCCCTCCAGGCTTGAATACAGGACATTGTAGTGAAGCAGCAGCTTTGCAAATGTGAATTTTGAGAGGAAACTGCACATACCTCAGCTCTGCTTTGGGTGAACATGTGAGACAAAACACAGAGACATTGCCATAGGGATGACATGGTGGGAATGATTCTGTCTTTGGAAAGGGTTGGGATTTTGTTTTAAGCTTGCAAAGTAATTACAGAACTCCTAGCAATTGCTTGAGGTAAAGCAGTAATACCAGAAGAAGTGGCTGAAGCCAGAGTTCAGCTTTAGCTCTGCCAACACAGAAGCGTTGAATTGCAATAAATCCCTGTCCCTTCTTTTCCTTCTGCTGCAGCAAGTCATGGTGTTGTAACTCTGAGAAGTGTTGATACCCCAGTTTATACCAGCCCATTAAACTCAGAATTTGCAAATACCTTACAACTCTCAAAATCGACAGTGCTTCCCTAACAGCCCCCAGGGAGGTGCAGAGAGACCAAAAAGAGTTGAAGAGTTTCCTGACCCCCCTCCCCGCCTCCCCACCTCCTCCATCCCTCCCTGCTTTGGAGGATGCCCTGTGATTCTGCCAAGGTTGGTATGGACCAGACTCAGACCAGACTTGCCTTTTTAAGGGAGCAGAGGGGAGAGTCTAAACAGGAGCAGTGAGATGACCCAGAAGTAGAGCCTGGCCCCACGGCTGCCCAGGCTGGCAGCGTGGGAGTTTATGGGGGACCCATCACCCTGCTGGGAGGGCAGCAATGGCCCTGGGGCCATCATCACCCAGTAGAGGGGGTCGCTGGTGGTCCTGGCTGCAGCCTGCAGGTCCTGCTTGTGGGTGTGTGGTTCCTGCTCTGCCCTGGCCAGGATCCTGCGTGGGGCTTGGGACAGGCGTGTGCTCAGTGGCCGGGCTCCAGATCCTGCCCTGCTGCTCTCCAGCCAGTAAATATTTTCTGCTCAGTGCAGATTATTAGCTGATTGGGAGTACGCTGGAAGTATCATTCCTTGCTCTGCCAGAATTTATCTTATTGGAGCTGTTGTGGGATTATTTTTTTTAAACTTTCCCCTGCACTTGCTGTTGTGGGAATGGATATAATGTAAAAATGAAGTATGTATACAGTTTGCTTTGTGAGCTGTAGTCAGTTCAGCTGCCTCTGGGAGGGGTGGGAATGTTTGGCCAAGGAAGCACAGGGCTGTTCTCGGGCTCTGCCAATGGTCCTGCAGATCTTCAGAGCCAGTCCCCTGCTCCCTGACAACTCAGCCATGCTCCCAGCTATTGAACAGCCCTCAGGAGAACAACCCCCCTCCCCAAACCCATGCAATCATCGCTTTAGATTTCACTGGGCTGTTTTAGGAAAGCTACCATATGGCTGCAGAGCTCTGGTGTGCCCATGGGGACCTGCCCCCAGCTCCACTTCCCCCTTGGCATTGGTGTGAGCACAGGTGGGGACACCCCCACCTCCAAGAGCCACTCTCCCTTGGGGAAGCTCTGGTGATCGGTTGAATGTGAATTGTCACTTTTTGTCTGTTTCCATAAAGTTTGTAGGAACCCAGTTCTCCTGGAGAGCCTCCCCTGCCCAGGTGTGGGGCTGGAGTCAGGCAAAGGGCTCAAGGCATTGCATGTGCACGGGTCCCACCTCAGGTTTCTTATGAAACCAGATGAGAACTTCCTGTGGGCTTTGCCAGGGTGCCAGTCGATCGGCCTGGGAAGCCACAGCAGCTGCCTCAGACACTAATGGTGTTGAGAAGAAAAAGCCCTTATACTTATCCCAAACCTGCCCCATGGCAGCTGTGCTGAGGCACCAGGGCTTTGGGTTGGATATGGAATTAGTCAGGGGTGAAACGATGCTTGAAAATACAGCAGTCCTGCCAGGCAGTTCAGGGGAATTTGTGGTTACTGGTGATTTTGTGCCCAGATCCACAGCATGCTGAAGGCAGCAAGAGCCTGACCTAGTTCAGCAGTACAGGGAGAGGCAACGCTGGGAAGCTCCTGCCAGGCAGATGGAAAATATGTCTGTGCTGCAGCGCTGAGCTGAGCTCACCCCGGGTCCCAGACAGCTCTGCCGAAGAACATGTTTGGCAGCACACTGTTAAATAAATAAACTGCCCGTTCACAGAGAAGCAGAGCAGCCATGAGACTCGGTTCTCAGTCCATTTTGTTTCTAGATGTTGCAAGGAAGCGTTACAAGAGATTGTGTCCCTTCTGGGCTGCTTTTTAGCAAAAGCCTCTCTGCCATAACCAACATGGTTTCACCATCGATCATGGGGAAGGCGGCTTGTTGCTGCAGTGTGGGGGCTAGCTCGGGCTGACATCCACCTTGGCAGACCCCCATGGGACATGTGTAGGGCTGGGGGTGCGGGTCCCCACCATGGATGGGCTGTGGGGCCTGTCGTGGTGCTTCCTCCTCTGCAGAAAAGCCGCCCTGCCCGTACCGCCCCTCGTAGTCCCTGCCCCAGCCCAAGAGGTGCTGCCTTGCCTGGGCTGGGCAATGCTCTGGGCTGGCGTGGTCCTGTCCCCGTGCCTGCATCCCCTGCATCCCCACCAGTGCCCTTGGCACAACACGCAGTGGCTCTACATTCTTTAGATAAAGATTGTTGGGGGACAAAAGGCTCGGTTGCAAGGAAAAGGTGCTTCATCCAGCACCTATGGAGTAAAAACTGTAATTTTAGCTCCACTATAGCCTGTGCATATGCTTTGGATGAGAAACACGAGTGTCTAAAGGTGGGTGATAGCCAGATCCCGCCCCAGGACAGCAGGACGGGACTGGATCCCAGTGAGGAAAGATTTTTGCTTCATTTGCTTTCCACACAGTAACACATTTCACCATTACAGATACCGACCTTGCAGCAAAGGCTTTGCTGAGTCATTTTATTTGGCTACAAATGCCAAAATTACTGCAGTTCACTCAGAGGCTGGAGGCAGCCTAAATCCAGCCTTCCATTGCACTGGGTGATGGCAATGAAAGTGGACCTCTCTTCAAAGATGAGTGTAGGTGCTTTGGGGTTTTTTTTGAGATACTAATGGGAAGGAAAAAGCATTTTTCTACCCAACAGGCCTCCTGGCTTAGTGTGGACTGGTGATTTGAGTAATTTTTATTGCCCTACCTAAAAGGAGTTTGGACGTCTGTGAGCAGTCTTCAGAGAGTGATTGTCCCTCTCCAAAAGCCCCCATAAAAATGAGTCAAATCTCTGTTTAAACTTAAAGGATGCCCTTGAGACCATTAGCTCTGCTTAGGAACTGCAGTCCTAACCCATTAAGATAAAAATAAATATAGCTTATTTTAGGAAGAGGGAAGTGGGAACCAGCCCAAGCACTAGTGAGCCACTGCAAGCACAGATGTGTTAAGGCTGGGTTTTTTTCTTTTGTCTCATGCACCTTCTAATTCAAAGTGTATTTCAGCAATCCTTTTGACTTGCCACAATTGGCTCCTGCCTGGATATCTAATAACATAGCGAGGCAAGAAAAGATGCTTCTGAAAATGCCTTGTATTTCCCAAAATACAAAAAACTCCAGTCCCACTTCGGGAGTTTGTAGCATCAGCAGTCCCAGTACCTGGGGACATGGGCAGCATTTGCCCAAGCTAGGAAAGCCAGCAACAAATGTCACTTACCCGTGTCATGGTACAGTGCCTCTATACTTCAGCGCAAAGCAACATCCCCCAGAGACAAGTGAAAAATTACTTATATTGTGTGTGAACAGTGACAGGCTGTGTAGATAGTAATAGCCACAGATAAAATCCCCTCTCCTGCTGTCTCTTTCCAAGCAGAGAATTTTGCATTAGAGCTGGCTTTTCTATTCTGGGAGAACTGGTAATTTGCTAAAAATGGCCTTTCAGCTATTCCTAAAATATTGAGAAAATATTAGTATATTGGCAGAATAGACTGTGGGGCTGTGTGTAAAACCTGCAACCCTGTGCTCCTGCTTCTGCACGTGCCCAGCATGAGACACCCCAGCAAACCCAGGAGCCAGCTGAAGGCACCATTTTCCTCCCCCAGCTCGGAGCTCATGCAGCCCAGAGGCTGACGGCATAACCCCTGCCCAGCCAGGGCGTGCAGAACCAGGAGCAAGGCTCACAAACGTGAGGAAGCTTCTTCACCCGTGCTGCTGTGGCAGCCGCCTCGCTAACAGGGCACCACAGACAGCAACTGCACCCCAGGCCTTGCGCTCCAGCACCCACTTCCCCGAGGCACTGTTAGCGAACGTCGTAGCAGCTTGTGAATAAAAAGCATCAATGGGTTAAAACTCCCCTGTGAGGTAGTGTTGGAGCCAGATCTGTAGTTCCTTAAAAACCAAGAACAAATGCATGGGCAAATGTGATAAGGCCATAAATACATCTGAAAAAGTCTCGCTCGTAGGAGATTTGGTGGGAGATTATAGAGCAATGGGCCAAGGCCTGTGCTTAGATGAGTGGCTGGGTGGAGGCTAAAATGCTTTGGAAATAGGAATTACTTTTAAGACTTTGTAGGTTGGAAATTTTGGGTTTGCTAATCTGTCCACTGTGCAAGGTTTCCTTAGGCAAAGTGAATTTTTCCTCTGTTCCACCGAGGTCTAAAATGCACTGTTATTTTGCAGAACTACTACCCTGGTGGGGTTCTGGTTGGGTCATCTAAGAGATGTGAACAAATTTGGTTCATGTAAAATAACTAGTTTAAGTTAGTAGATTTCTGTTTCTTTGTTGCATCTGGCAAAATAAGTGCAAATGGGAGTGCTAACAGAACAACAGGGAGTTGCTGCACGTCCTTCAGGCCACAGTGCTTTGGCCTGAATTGAGTAAAGTTGCACCCAAAAGCGGGCACAGAAAAACCTGTC